TTTTTTTTCTTTTTTTAAATCAGGTTTATCAATATCTGTTCCTAAATATACACATGTTGCCACAAGTTATGTCTATGGAGCTACTTTGTTCTTTCATAGACACAACAAGGATAACAATAAGAAATCAAGAATATAAAATACAAATCAGACAGCATATTCTTTCTTTTATCCTTTTTAAAAGCTTTATAATAGGAATGTGGGCTAAAACTTAGGAATTTCATTCAGAAAATCTTAAGGGATATTTTAGCTCTAACAATTTGACTAGAAGTTCTGGTAAAATAATATTTACATTATGAACAGGCCTATCAGCCTCAATATTTGATAGCTTACTACATGTCTAAAGTTAAAAAAATATACTTTATCACTATGCTATAAAGTATTCCTATGACTTTAAGGAGAAAATCAGTATTGCTATACTTGTCAGTAGGCTTTTTCTTTTTGGAACGCTTCACGAATTTGTGCGTCATCTCTTGCGCAGGGGCCATGCTAATCTACTCTGTATCATTCCAATTTTTTAGTATGTGTGCAAGCACAGTAGGCTCCTTTAAAACATTTTAATATAAGAAAAACTGATCTGGCTATTTGTAATAGTTCTTGTAAGTTCTACAATGAAAAACTAAAATGTATTTTTTTTCCTAATTGTGAAATAAATTGATAAACAATTTCTTATTCCATTTGTCTATTCTTTAAATAAGGTAGTTCTGTTTTCCTAATATGAGTTCATGGAAGTAGCATTTAAATACTAACAAACCTGACTGGAAGCACTGGGGTCTTCAGAAACTGAAGAAGGCATTTCAAAGGGAGCAGGCCATGAAGCCCCTTCTGAGTCATGTGTCTGATCAGAACTTGATGATTCCTGTCGTTCTGCAGCTGAAGGGACAGGCTGAGCTGCTCCATCACCATTGATACTGCCCAAATCAGAAATTAAAAAAACAAAATAAAAACAGACTTTGTCAAAAGTTAACTTTATGTTACAATCTACCAATTATAAAAGATGGTGGAAGAGATGGGCATCATCACCCTAAGTACATGTATGATTTCACAAATGGTGTGACTCTCCTTCGTGTACAACCAGAAGTGAAAAATTGTGCTCCATTTGTATACTATGAAGTGTATTCTGCTGTCATGTATAACTAATTAGAATTTTTAAAAAAACTCCAGACTTTGTAATCAAGCATGTATTTTCTTAACAAAAATTAAAATGAAAAATGTAAATACATCATAGTGAAAAAAAAAATTAATTTTACTAGCTTCAAATTAAATTTTAGATAAGAATTTACTTTTTTAAATATATATATTTTTAGTTGTAGTTGGACACAATACCTTTATCTTATTTATTTTTATGTGGTGCTGAGGATCAAATCCAGCACCTCGCATGTGCTAGGTGAGCGGTTTGCCACTGAGTCACAACCCCAGCCCCTCCTTTTTCTTCTTAAGGTAAAAATAAACAAGTAGTCAAGTACCTATAATATAAAAACTTGGAAAGAATAGCCTTCTGGTACCAGTGCTCCTTGCTCTTTTTCTTCCTCTGCCACTTTTGATCTATCAGTCTTTGATAAAACTCTTTCAACCATGTCCAATCACCAGTCTGAGTAAGAAAAAAATTAAATAAATATCACACACATAGCGGAAACAACTTGGTACTATGCTATCGTTTGGATCCTGAATGTCCCCAAAGGCTCCTATGTTGAAGGCTTGGTCCCCTGCCTGTGGCACTATTAGGAGGTGATGGAACCTTTAAGAGTGGAATCTTGTGGAAGGAAGTTAGGTCACTGGGACATACCCTTGTAGAGGACATGGGGATACCAGCCCCTACTTTCCCCTCTTTGCTACCTAGCCACCATGAGGTGAGCACTTTCCTCCATCATGTGCTCCCTAACATAATATGCTCCCTCACCATAGGACCAAAGCAAAGGAGCCAGCTGGTCATAACTGAAACCTCTGAAACCATGAGCCAAAATAAACCTTTCCTCTTTTTAAACTGAATATCTTGGGTATTTTGTCACAGTGGCTGAAAGCTAACCCGCACCTATTACTCTTTTACAATCGATTCTCTGTTGAATATTGTTGGCATAAGCACACTCACAAAACACCTATATTTCTAGACTCAATTCATATTGCCTCTTTTAACTCTTTTAAGAAGCCCACATATTCCTCCCTTCCTAGGCCAGGCCAGAGAGGTAACCCTTCTCTATCTTTTCTTGAGTGCGTGAAGTATAACCTACTTTGCACTTTATTGAAATATCTACCTTTGTGTTCTTACATCAAAACTGTGAACTACTGAAGAACTAGGGCTATAATTTACTCACTCACATCTCCCCCAAAGCATTGTGTATCTGGTGCACACACAGATTGAACTTTACTATTTTATCTAAAAGAATATTTTAAATGTCAGTTTAAATCACTCATTTTCCTTTATTGGAAAACACTGAAGTGATGTTAAAGAGTAGCCCTATGAACCAGTAGAACCATCAACCACTTGCTATCAGTAAACTAAAGATTAAGTATAGAACTGGAGAACAAGCCTGGAGAAACTGAAACATTGTGATTATATTTTATAAAAGTGTCCAACATTAACACAAGAAGGAAAAACAGCAGTTTATCAACACAGTTTTAGAAATCAGGCTTTAAGACATTTTTCACATCGCCTAGTAACAACTTTTCAGGACAATCTCTATAATGAAGACAAAGAATTTTTTAATAATTTAAACATAATAATAATTATGTATAAATAATAATTTCACATATTTTTCTGAACTTTTTCTTCACTAACTTCACTCTTTTCCTTGTAAGAATCCTGGCTGTCAGCATGAACAAAATAATTTTCTTCCCCATTCTGTTTTTTTTTTTTTTTTTTTTAACTGAAGTTTTCTTATCTTCAGTAAATTTTTTCAACTTTTGATTGCTGAAGTACTCAGCTTCATTTCTACTTTGGCATTTCTCTGGAACACAATCATATTTCTAGCGCTCTTAGGTTGTTAATGTTTTTCTGGATGTCTTTCACAAAGTATTACCTGAGATGATCTCATGAAGAGTTCCTGAATATCCAGCTCATCTAATAAGAGTGTCCTTCCTATGCGGTGCACCGCCATGCTTACGTGGGACTTGCTGTAGGGAATCTTCAGCAGTTTTTTTATGTTCTTAGAAAAAATAAGGAAAAATAATTTAGAAAGACCTTTTTAGAGTTATCTGTAATTTCAAATTTCAATTTCATTCATCTCAAGGTTATACAAACTGTAATTTACACAAAAAGCTACATAGAAAATAGACCTTTAAAACCAGAATCACTACACTTTATGAGCCACGCTAATATGTTAATATAAATGATGATCAAAGATTTATTTTTACAAGATACAATTTCTCAACGGTAAGTGCATACAGATAACACTACTTCACTGACCTAAGCTTTTAGCATATCAGAAAAAAACTGCCAACTAAAGATCAATAGAATTTACTGGAAATATGATTCTAAATTGGTAACATGCAGTATAATCCATTTCAATTACTATTATTAATATACAGCAGTTCATATTAGTATTAATATCACTACCATTGTTTTGGAAACTGTTCCCTCCACTTTGAAGAAAGAACATGTGGTAAGGAGTAATAATTTAAAAACAAAAAAGGTATCAGAAAATCAGATAATTGTATCATTTCATCGGGAATTTCTCAAGACTGTGAAACAGAACATGTAACACCTAGTATAAAACACTCATGGAGTTCCACTTAAACAATAAGAAAACTTACTTCAGAATCAGAGACAACATCCACATCATTTCCCACAGAATCAATAAAGTCATATGCCATGCCAAAACTACCAAAGGAAAAGAGGCCACAAGTTAAAGGTGAACAGAACACCAAATATCCTTGCTTCTAGGATTCACATTTTCCACATTCTAACATCTCTGAAATCAACATGTAGTAGGTTAACTAGTGTTTCCTTTTCAGAATATATAAAATAGTGTCTCAAAATAAAAAATATCTTTAGATTTAATGAAACAGTAATAATTATAAAAAGTCATTAGGAAAGATTTAGAATAAAATACTTAGTGGGTATTTTTATTTTTGTCCTCTGAAACTCAAAAAAATCTCTTCCAAGAGAAAATTGTTCTAAGATTTTACTCTTTTTAGATAAAACAAACATTTATTATGATTTTAGTTTCTAGGACTGGACTGTTTCTAGAAAGATATCATTAAAAAAAAAATGAGATAAATGCACCTGACACCAATTTAGAAACAAGGAGAAAAAAGAAGAAGAAATGTGTGCATCCAACTCATTCCAGGTACCATATGAGATATACCTATAGTCTATAAGGTGGAGAAGTAGCAGTCAGGATACTTACCCAGGACTGTCTAATATTGGAGCATGCTCTTACAATCTATCATATGCTTTAAGTAAATTACTTAAACTTTCTTAGCTTATTTTCTCACATGCAAAATACTTCACAGTATCTAGTTCAAAAGATTACTATGAGCATTAAATGAGATAAACATAAAATACCTAGCACTGTGTTTCTACAGTCAATATAATTATTTAAATCATCTCATAACAATATAATCTATTAAGCTATTCTTCCAAAAGAAGATATTTGAGTTACTTCCAGTTTTTTGCTAGAATAAATGCCACAAATAAACAACTTGTATACATAACTTTTACTTTCTGAGGCAGTAAGGACCCCACATATTAAATGGCCTACAAGAATAAGACACAAGTACATTTTTCTCTGTAAGATGCCGGGCCATTCTCTCATTTTTAAATACCACTAGCAGAATTCTCGGGTTCAGAGTCAAAGGTGTAGGTTACCCAATATGCTGGAATTTTACATCAGGTTTTTCTAAACTACACAATATACCATAATTCAAAGAACAGATCAGACCATGGTAAGGGTTTTCCTTCTCATGTACCACCCTGATTTGTTTTGTTTTCACATTCAAAAGTTAGCAAATTAGCTAAAAATAAAATGGTCAATTTTTAGTAAAAAATTTAATATATGTTAATAACATGATACAGACATGAAAGGAACACATGAAATTGGTATCTTCATATTATTACATATTCTGCAGGGGAGAAAAAACTTTAAAAGTCAAATGTGATCTTTGGGAAAAAGAAAAAAATCCCAGCAAGTTAATGTACATCACAAATTAAACTGGAAAGTATTAAGAGTTTTAAGTGGAGTAAAGGGGTAGGTTAAAAATGCCATCTATTAATATTTACCTTGAAAACGGCTTGCTTTTCTTACTATTGCCGAGAATGGTAGTTCCTGCTGGCCCTAGTTTGGCACTCTCTCGTAACCAGTTGGCAGGTGGGAGTTTCAAGTCTGTCTTCTCTTCCAGGCGTGCAAATGCTGTTCGAGGAGGGGCGGAAGAATATTTCACCACAGCTCGGCTCTTCACTTCATTGCCTCCAAGAAATAAAGCTGATCCCTAATTAACATATTGAATGACACTATAATGAACACTCTTAGGAATGAAAATCTCAGCTTTATAAAAAGAAAACAGGAACTCACTACCTCAAGCGTGTCACTAACAATACATTTTAGCACACATTATCATATTTACTAGCTCTTCTTCAATAGTTTTAGAGGAAAAAAAGACGGATGCATCAAGGAGCACGATGGCTGCGGTCTTCAGCCGGGAAGCAGGCCGACCACCCCGCCTTGTTCAATGTACTTATGTAAAACCCAGAAGCAGAAACCAGGAGACTGAAGAGCGCCCGGTGGGTCCCCGCAGGATCCCACGACGCCGCTCCCCGGGTCCGAGAAACAGCTCCACACTGCGCGCCGCCTACCGAGTGGTTTCGGGTGTTTCAGGGCCTCTTTGGCTACCAGCCAGGGCCAACTGCCCGTCGGTCCCCACAGGAGCGCGGCACCGGCCCGCGCGGCCCTCCTGCCCCGGGCGGGCCCAGGGTCGCCCTTCCAGCCTTGCCCTGGAGGCCCCGACGGCCCGGCCGCCCGGCGCGCCCTCGGAGACCCGCCCGGCGCGGGTCCGGCGAGCCCTGGCGCACCCTCCCGCCGCCCCCCGGGCTCCGCCGCCGCTCTGACCCACTCTCACGCCCGGTGCTCCGGGGCGGAGAGGGCGGAGCGCGCTGCGGCGGCGGCCGCCGGGGGGAAGAGAGACGGCTGAGGCTCTCGACCTGCACGCCTGGGACGGGCAGCGGCCTCCGCTTCGCGCCTCGGAGGTGACGGGGGCGTGGAGGCGGCGCCGGAGGCTGCGGGGCCCGTGACAGCGTCCCTGGCCGCGCGGCCCGCGGAGCCCAGGCAGGTGCGGCCCCGCGGGGGACTTACCTGCGCGCAAGGTTCCTCGGAATCTCCCTGGGACAGGAGGCTCAGCCCGCCTCGAGCACCGGTCCCCGCCGGCGGAGCCTCGGCGCCGGCCTCCTTGAGGTCCTCCATCACTGCGGCCCAGGGCAGGGGCGGCCCAGCGGCAGCCGAGGGGCGGCACCGGGAACCGGGGCCCACGGGCGCAGCAGCTCAGCCGACCAGGTGCAGGAGACGCTCCGCGAAGAGCGCTTCCGGCCCCTGACAGGAAGGCTTGAGGTGACGCGACCAAATCTCGCGATCTCTGTAACAGAGGCTCGGCTCCGCCTCCTGCTGCGGAGGCCGCCTCGGGGGCGAGATCGGCGGCGCGCCGGCGCCTGTCAAAGCCTCTCGGGGAGACCACTTCTCGCGGTATTTGCCGCCCAGGCTCCACCCCTCGCACGCCGCTAGTCTTTGTTGGCATATAGTTCTTGGTGCCAGAGCTTGGACCGAGTCCGAATCCGGAGGTCTTCTCTGCGTGGGAGGTGAACTACCCTAAAGGGTTTTGAGAGTTAGCGGCGTCAGCACGCTCCCTCCCCGGCCTGCGGTGCACGCCGAGGCCCAGAAGGAGAGGCGCATTCAGGTGCGCCGGTCCGCTGCAACCTGGGTCCCTGCGGTGGCCCGTTCTTCCTGCATCACAATGCAGGAGTGCAGGGGCGGGGGCTTCGCGGGCCGTGGGGCGCCGGGGGACTCTGAGCTGGCAGCACCTTCTCCGGTGGTAAACTGCTTAGATGCGCAGGGAGTCTGCTGAGAACCCGGGCGTGAGCCGAGGCTCCGACGTCAGAGCGCCTGGGAACACCTGGGCATCTAGCGGGCGTGCACGTTCCGACTCGGTGGCTCCGGGAGGGGCCCGACCGTCTGCATTTCTCCCAAGCTCCCAGGAGGTGCTGCCAGTTCCTAGAGTAGCAAGGGGGTGGAGAAATAGCTAGGGTTGTTTAAATCTTGGAGAGCCTGGACTCTTTCGGACGAATCAACTAAGATGAAACAGCGAAACATCTCAAAAATTTGGCAAATCTTGTTCGGTTTTTCAGTAAAAAAAAAGTTTTTTAATTAAATTTGCTTTTGAAGTATGTCTGTCTTAGTTTGTAATTTACATTTGACTAATAGTGTGCATCTTCAGGAATCCTTGTGAATGAGCAAGCCTAACTTACTTTGTTTTCAAATGTAACAAAAAATTATGGATTAATATTCGATTTGACAAAATATTTTGGAGCTATTTAACATGTATTGATTTTAATTTTTACAATCATTCGTTCTATTTTGCTGTCATTTTTTTTTTTGCAAGTTATGCATTATTCAGTAAAATGTTGAACTCATATCTAAAACGGGATGGTTAAACTTATTTTGGGTACCTAATAAAACCTATGCAATCATTACCTAATTTTTCAAGAATATTCAAATTATAAATTGTACATATCACATTAAATAAGCCAAATTTGTAAAAGTAGATATGCATTATGATCCCAGTCTCAAAAACATCTATTTCTATGTCTTTGTCCACAAAAACAGATCTGAATGGAAAGATGGAGTGATTAAATTTTTGTTCTTTCAAGTCTCCCCTATTTTCTTTCATTTTGTAACTAACTTTAATTTTATTAAGCTTTTGCACATATGTAATTTAGCTTTTGATAATATTTCAATTTTATTGTGTAATTCTATGTAAGAAGTGAGGTAGCAGGAATTCTTTTCTCAGAACTCAAATTTGTGCATGCCTGGAAAAGGGAGTTCCTGGATCCTTGTTTATATTGGCTGGTGGGAAGATGGGCTGGAAACCACTGGTGAAAAGCCAGAGAGGAGTGAGACAGAATGAAGATCTTGCACAGAAAAAGGAAGACTTGCAGCCGGAGAGAGGCTGAGGGAGATGAGGGCCTCACCCCTCAGGAGCTACTTGAGGGATGCCTGGCCCCCAGGGGCTGAGTCTGCAGCCACCCACAGGCTGGGACTAATTTACTAAAGGAGGGTGATCCCTGAGGCCTGCAGAAACTGGGCACATCTGGGTTACATAAAGTTTGAACAGTCTTCTAACTCCAAGGCATGTTTTTCTTTTTCTATATTCAAATACTCTTACATGCTATGTTTTTTAAAAGTCATTATTGTTTCTAAAGTAAATTACTAAAACATAGCGTGGGAAAAACATTTATTTCACAATTTCAAATTTAAAGACCCTCGTTCATCTTCCTTTTTATATCATACCAGGATATCCCACCCCCAGCTCAGGAGGTATGGCCTCCTTCATTTATGCCCTGTCAGTTGCCCTGGTTCTGGGACCTAGCCAGGGTGCTCAAGTGCTTGCCTGCTGCCCTCACTGCCTACTAGGTGTTTGTTGAATTAATGAGCTGTCCAGAATGGCTGCTCCGACAACTTGTTCCATGAGCTCCACAGGAGCTTTTCCTCTGCTTTAGAATACCTTTCCCTGCCTTACCTGGCTTATTCCTACCCATCCTCAAGAGTCAGGTATCATCTCTAATAAGTCTCTCCTCACACCTCTCCAGACTTAACCCTCAGGGTCCTTTTTTTTGTTCTCTTCACTTGTATGGCTTTATCCTGCACTTGTCATATTATAGAAAAATTACCTGTTTGTATCTGCCTCTCTTGCTGCCTGTGAGCTCAAAGGCGGGTGTCCTGTCTGATCATCTCCGTTTCACCAACACCAAGCACAGCAGCAGCTGACAGAACTGTTTTAGCCCTTAGGCAATTTAGGGAAAATGACTAGGGATGACAGGCTTTAAAAATGCTTATCAAAATGTATGAGACATAAAAACAATGTTGTTGACTCCAAAATATTTTTTTAATCGGCAAAATCAAAGCTAAGACTGTCTAATGAAGTAACTCTAAAACATTGCACTGTCAATGACATTAATTATTAAAGTCAGTATTGACATACAGTTTGTTCTATTCTAAAACAATTTGTAGGTTAGACTTTCTCAGTTTGCAGAATTCCTCCCAGCATGCAGGATGATTTCTGCAAAATCCCAGTCAATCCTAAATTCATTTTGTTATTCACAGTGTACAGTGTTTCCAAGCAAAATTAGAAACCCTTTCAAAAACTTTTACAATAAGACAACTACATGAAAGGCAGATGTGGTTTGGGGGTGCTGCAGAAAATAGGAGTGCCCAGCATATTCAATGCCTGTACAGCTACACCAGCAGAGAATGCCAAATTCCAAAACTTATACACTCAGGCAAGTTTGAGGTACTTGCTCTTCAGTTTACCACAGCCCCCTCTATGACCTACTATCTTCCACCTAACTAGCCTCATTAATTTGCTTGCTGGATCCTAGAAGGATCTGTTTCTGATTCCTGATCCTAGACTGAGCTGGGAGAGGGCTTTGAGATGATCTGAGCCAACCTCTTCCTTTAGAAGAGAGCAATGAACCCAAGAAAGGAAAATAGAACTGACTGGCTGAACATTGTACAAAACTAGTAAGTAGTGAAGCCAGGACTAGTTCTTAGGTTTCCTATTCAGGCAGCCTTCTAAAAAGTTTCATTGCAGGTAGAGTCCACAGTTAATTTGTTTCATAACCACCTGTTTAAAAGGCAGATCTTCCAGCCACCAGCAGATTCTAAATCAGTATCTTTGGGGCGCTACTAAGGAATCTGCCTTGTTTTGTGAGACTGCTAGTTCTAGCGGACCTTGGTCTGTAACTACCACCTTGGCAATAGGGTCTCCTAGAACGATCCTTTGGATGCAAGAAGAACTATAACATCTTTTTAAAATCTGCAAATAATGGCAAACTTAAGCTTTACTAAACACAAGATTAACACAGGAGCCCTTCCTTGGGCCATGGTCTATCAGTCAAGTGAGATTTGGTATGCCTCTGGAACAAATGATCTCAAAATGTCAGAAGCTTACAGTTAAAGTTTACAGATAAGATACAAGCGACTAAGTTAAATCTGAATTTCAGATGAACAGTGAAAAAAAAATTAGGGTGAGAAACATACTGAGAATGTAGCATAAGTATGTCCCATGCAATGTTCGAGACATACTTATGCCAGTCCGAGTCATCTTGGTTCTGGACTGAGGCTGATAGTGCATTGCCAGTTGGAGTGGTAGAGAGACAAGGAGAGATTGGGAACTGTCTGCTTATCTCATAAATCCTCCCATCAAAAGTGACAAACATGGGCTGGGGTTGTGGCTCAGTGGTAGAGCATTCACCTAGCACGTGTGAGGCCCTGGGTCTGATCCTCAGCACCACATAATAAATAAATAAACAAACAAACTACAACTAAAAAATGGAAAAGATTAAAAAAGAAAAGAAAGTGACAAACATTACTGCCATTCCATTTTTTGAGGGGTGGGGATATATCACAGGGCCAACCCTGGCATCAGTGAGGAAGGAAAGACTAATTCCCCCCTGAGGAGGATGTTGGCTATTGGTGACCATCATGCAGCCTGCCCCAAGGACCGGGTGGCTTGAGTAGGCTGCTGCCAGATGCTATCGCCTGGTTGAATTTGCTAAGAAGACATGGCTGCTAGGAGAATCTTTTTTTGGAGTTTTGTGATGAGAGGAGGAGTGACCTCGAACTCCTCGTATACCACAGAGGTCACAGATCTTCTGTGAGGAAGCCCTCAGAAGAGTTGTCGAGCTTAAAAGAAAGTTGCTGTTTTCTTTCACAAAGAGTGCCCCACATTTTCTCTTCTTGTCTGTGATGACAAGTAGCTGTCATTAGGATGCTACTGAGGAGAAAGTCTCACGAAAACAAACAGACTTAATGTGTTCCTTCAAGACGAAGGTGCTGCTTTAGCTGCGAGGGAGAAAGCATTTGGCTTTCAGAAGAAGTTTATCCTATGGAGGCAACATCTTTGAAAATAGATGTTTGGAAAACTTTCCAACATTATGTGATTTTGTTGCCAAAAATGATGTGTGTTGCTGTTAACAGCTCGTATCTGCACACCCAACTTAGAAGTGAAGTTTCTCACTGCTTGGGGAAACCTTCCCAAGGGGTAGCTGGGTAACCAAACATGGAGGCTTTCTTGGGAGGTCAGTGGCTGTCGGTCTGGTCCAGGAAGGGCAGGTGCTAAGGGAGGGGACCTGGACGAGGTCACACAGAGGCAGCAAGCTCCTGTGCTCCTTGGCAGCAGGGTCGGAATTTAAAAACAACAACAACAACAACAAAAAAAAACTATCCACACTTAATTGTGATTTTGATATTA